CTTCAGCATTTCAATCAACAACCTCATTTTCTTTTAACAGTTGAAGTGAACTTATGAATAATGGATGATAGCCTGATGAATATGCACATGGCCTATTATGCCTGTGAGGTTTGGTAAATAATTTATGAGCTAAAATGTTCCTCACCTTGTTACTGTACAAAAATTATGGGGAAAAAACATATTTACCCTTTGAGCTGGTAGGGGGATCTGTCCGAATGACAACAGCCTGGAAATACAGTTTTACATCATTGCTAAAATTAAATACAATAAGATACTGTATATGCATTTCAGGGTGGGAGGTCTGTAAAAAATGGAGCATGCACAGCCATACTCCTTGTCATGTCCAAGTTTTAAAACTCTGTCTTCTCATCTTAAAATAATCCCTGGGTTGTTAACAGCACTTGGGACCTCCTCCTTCACAGCCCATTCTCTTCGCAAGGACTTGAACACGACCAGTCAAGATGGACTACAGCTTCCTTGTTTTACGAAAACTGACCAACCACAACAAGCCATAACAGTGTAAAATTTAAGTCTCCAGAGGTGGTTAAAACAAAAAAAAATCCTAAAAGCTTTCAGAAAGAACAAGCAAGTAACAAGCACACGGGGGCGGGGTGTAAAAAAAAAAACAAAAAACTGGCTGGAGGAGCACTGGGAAATGTGTTGTTCTCACAGCTGAGAGGTTTTTTTCCTGCTGACCAACCTGACTCCCTGCTGTATCATCCTTCAACTCACTCCTAGCTGCCCAAGCCCAGTCCCTTAGCAACAGCAGTGATGCCTTTAGTCTGGTGACTGAGAGGGGGAGGGGCAAGATTAACTATGGAGATAAGGAAGGTGTTTGGAAAAATATGCAGGGAACCTGGGGAAATTTGGTTGCTCCACAACAAGTTTTGAAGACTTGGAACTGGGTCAGTTCTCCAGCCAAGGAAGTAAGGACCTCAGGGATTATCTGCTTACATTACTAGTTTTCTAGGAAAAAAGTACGTGCCAAGGGAGACTCTTATTATGAACAGAGCATCCTTGATAAGCTGGGTGCTTGGAGAGCAAGCAAAAGAGGAAGCAGAAGGCTCTGTCCCACATCTGTGGAGTAAACCAATGTATTCTCAGGAAACGGAATGAATGGCCTATAAACGATAAATTATATAATGAAGTTATTGGAACAATGATGGAATTAAAATAATAATAATTAGAATAATGTATTATTCAAGAAGACTTCATGGAGGAGAAAAATCTTGATAGACTCTGTAAAGAAAGAAGGGACCCAATTAAATCGAAAGAGTAAGGCGGCCTATCTAGCCAGGCATTCCGGACCTGGGCCCTGCCTATCCTTCCATCCTCATTCCGTGCTGCCACTTGCTGTGTTCCAGCCACGTTGCACCAGCCTCTGTTTCTTGAACACCAAGTTCTTTCCTGCCTCATTGCCTCTTCTGCTGTTCCTTCTACTTCCCCCTTATTCTCTCAAATTTTGCCTTATATACTGTACTCATGACTTCTTTAGAACTGTCTTCCCTGCCCCCCAGTGTTACATCATATCACCTTGTGTTCTTAATTATCATGTATAATGATATATTCATGTGTTCTTTTTGTTTACTGTCTATCTTCTCAGCAAACTATAAATTCCACTGGACACTTAGCAGCCAGCCCAGTTATCTGGCACATGGTAGAAAATAAATATTTGGTGAATAAATGTAGGCTCAGAAGGCATGGGAAGTGGGAGTGAAGAGAAAAAATGTGCTGGGCTGAGGATTCTGCTGAAGACTTTTACTTGGTCTGAGAAGCAGAAGGAACCCTCTAGTGAGTGACATCTTCTCCCTATCCACCCATAGAAATATTTATATTGTTGACTTTTTTCCTGATTATAAAATATATACTATTCTAAAAAGATTATATTGCAACCTTGCAAACAAAAAAAAAAGGTTGTATTGCAAGTATTGGTGAGTATATCAAACAACTAGAACTCTCATACATTACTAGTAAGGACGTAAATTGGTTCAAACATTTGGAAACATATTTAGCAATATCTACAAAAGTTAAACATATACCCCGAACCTAGCAATTCCACTCCTCAGTATTTACCCAGTAGAAATAAGTGCATATATTCACCAAAAGACTTGTAAAGAAATGTTCATAGCACTTATATTAATAAAAGACAAAAACAGGAATAATCCAATGCCCAACAATAGTAGAATGGATAAATTGTAGCATATATTATGCAATGAAATATATATAGCAATAAAAAGAATAATACTGCTAGACTGAACAACATGGATAAGTCTGAAAAACATCTGTTGAGTGATAGAAGCCTGGCACAAAAGGGAACATACTGTCTAATTCCACTTACATGAAGTTCAAGAACCAGCAAAACCAGTCTGTGGTGATCGAAATTGGAATACTGGTCGCTGGGCGTTTATCCACTCTAAAGGGGCACAAGGGAGCTTTCCCAGGTGTTGGAAATGCTTTGTATCTTATTGGGGTGGTGATTACATATATAATGTAAAGATTTATCAAGGTATACATTTAAGATTTGTGCACTTTACTGTGTGCATGTCATACCCCAACAAGAAATTTAAAACATAATATTCGAGCAACACAGAAATGTATACACTATAAATTAAAAGTTTCCTTTTCCAAAAGAAAACCACAATTAACATTTTGATGTATGTCTACCTGCACGTCTCTGATCACATCCATTTCTTTTTTCACACAATCCCTGACATCCATGTTCTCCACAGCATTGGACCCGTGTGTAGCACCAAACCAAGTCACATAGCCTAAGAGTGTCTGCCTTCATGGTGACAATACTACACCATTTCACAGAGTCACAACCTGTGTTGTCAAAGAATTTACTCTAAGGGAAAGAACCACAGGGACTACAGACCAAACAAAACCCCCAAGAGCTATAATACTATGACAGGTATTAGTTTCACAGGGTCATTAAAGTAGACTCTGATTATGGTAGAAGTAATGATACAATTGTAAAGCGCTGACATATAGACTTATGATTAAACTAAGAAGCTTCAACCCCACACTGACTGGCGTGGCTCAGTTGGTTGAGCATTGTACTGCAAAGTAAAGGGTTGCCGTTTTGATGCCAGTTTGGTGCCAGCTTGATCCCAGGTCAGGGCACCTGTCTGGGTGGGTTGCAGGCTAGGTCCCCTGTTGGGTGTGTGCAAGAGGCAACCAATCAATGTTTTCTCTCACAGATCGATGTCTCTCTCCCTCTCTATCACCCTTCCTTCCCCTCTAAATAAATCTTTTTTTTGAGGGGTCAACTATGAGAAGTAGTGATTACAGATCTCATTTTATTCTTTTTAAAGATTTTATTTATTTTTAGAGAGAGGCAGAGGGAGGGAGAAAAAGAGGGAGAGAAGCTTTGGGAGGATGCCCAAACCAGGCAGGGACCCTCCTTTTTAAGTAACGAAGACGTGACATTACTTGCGTACACTGCTAGTGAAAGAGTTGGGACTAAAACCCAAATATTCTACTCCTAATTCATCAGTTCTCATAAATCTGACATCAGCGGTACCTCCCCACCCCCAGATGGAAACAGCAAGCTGGTAGAACCTGAGCTTGTTGGCCAGGCAAATGACGATGGCGCCAGGCCCCAAGAGAACTTCTGTGAGAGGGGGCCCCTGGGTGTGAACAAGCCACAAGTAACTTTCTGCAAAGGGTGTGCTGGTATGGAGTCACCTGGTGCTACTCCCCTTCCTCCCCTCCTCTGCAGTGTTCCTCTACGAGCGGGCTTAAGGAACTGTTTGGAGAGGGCTGAGGGCTCCACTTCCTCTAACTCATGCATGCCTATCTCATCATAAGACCGCCAAATGAGGGCAGGGCGGAGCAGCCTACGCTCGCCGCAGGCTGCCTCAAATCTGGGATCCACATTCGCTGGATTTACAGAGCCTCCCAACTCCCCAGTTTTACTCCCCTCCTTCCTTCTCTTCCCCTCCGTCCTCCCAACCCCTCCTTCTTCCCGTTGTCAGCTACTTCTCCAATCTGCGTTCCCTCAGTCCCAAACTCTGCCTCTTATCCCTATCCCCTTCCCTACCTTCCAGAGCCTCCAGACAAACCAAACCCTTCCTACCATTATCACCACCGAAGCAGACGTTTTGTTTTCTGCACTCCACAGAACTTTGTCTATTTTTTACATTTCCTTGTCTTCTTGGACAAGAACGCAGGCAAACTGTCTTTAGACAGCACAGCGCACAACCGCTACTAGGGTGGCAAGAAGCATTCAGGACCTGGGTCACCTCCCTGAGATGGAAATCAGGCACAGCCTCTCGGAGGGTTCGGCGGCGGGGGAGCGATGTCTGAGTTCCCTCTGCTTTCTCGCAGTGGCGTCCCGGCCTGAGGCTTGGAAATGGACGCGAACTTGACTTTCAACGTAGAGAAGGGCAGATGACTAACGTAGGGAGGGAAAGACCGCTGCTGGGAGCCACAGCCGTCGCCGCCCCAATCCTAGGCTGAAGGGAATGTGGTTTAGGGTCCCAGTCCTCACTCCCGGGACCCTACTCCACTCTCACACCAAAATAAAACGACCTCAAGCGGTACCTTGGAGGGGGCTGCATGACCGCCCCACAGACCCCTCCGTTCCAGTCCCGGGAGCGAGCCTCCGGGGGCCTCCCGACGTGGCTAGTGGCTGAGGGTCCCTTCCCCGCCCCCATCCCTGGTTTCTGGCTCCCCGATCCCCTCCCTTCCCCGCCCGCCCCCGGCGGCTGGCGAGCGCGGTGCAGCATGCGGCAAAGCTCTTTGCATAAATTATGCTCATGACGCAGCAGCTAAAAAAATCCAAGTAGCAGAAGGAGGGAAAAAGGGGGGGGGGAGGGAAAAAGGGGGGACTGTGGAAGGGGAAAAAGAAGAAAAATATATATACCTGACCAACCCCCACCCCAGCTTCCCCTACCCTCTTCCCCGACGTCCCGCCCCCGCCCAGCGCAGCCCGCGGAGTCCCCTCAGGCTCTGCCCATCCCGGGCTGGGGGCCCGGGGGCGGCGGCGGGTCCCGACCGGTTCCCGGGCCGAGCCGAGCCCAGCCAAGCCGCACTGGCTTCTTTGTCTACAGGCGGCGGCCGCCCCGAGCCCCGGCCTCCCGGCCCGGGCTGTGAGATGAATCTCTAATCGGTAGCCACCAGGCACCCGGGGCGAAGGCGGCTCGGGCTCGGGCTCGGGCTCCGGTAAGTAGCGGGGTCTGGGGCGGGGAGGGGTTTGCACGGAGGGGGAGGGGGCCGGGCAGGGGAGGTTTCGGGTTTGGTTAATATGCAATGCCCGTAATTAGCATAATTTATATATTTATGATAAAGAGAAAAAAATGCCGCGGGGCTGGGGCGCCAGGTTGCTGGGCCGGGCGGCCGGGAGCTCTGGGAGTGGGACAGCGCGCGGCCGCCCGCCTGGGGCCGGAGAGCCCCAGGCAGCGCCCAAGCTTGTCCGCGGACCGGCGGAGACCCGGGGAGGGGCGGGGGCGACCGCCAGGTGGACCCTGTAGGAAGCTTGCACCTGGCCCCTCCCAGTTTCTGCTCTTGGAGCCCAGGTGCGGTACAGACCATAGAGCACATTCTATACACAGATCCCGTGGCGACCAGAAGCGGATTCCTGCCCCGCGGGAGAACCCGGACGCCTGGGTTCCCAGCGGTTAAGGGCAGCTGGGGCAGCTGAGGCAGCTAAGGCGATCTGTCACAATTCTATCTGATCACAGCACACCGGGAGGACTGGTGGGACTCAGGATTAGGGAGCTGGCGTTGTTGGAAGGGTTTGAGGGTCACCATCAAGCAGAGCATGAGTACTTCATAAATATTTAATAACTATTATTATTAATAAATCGTCATAGTAATGGGCCCTGTATATGCTCCCTAGGCAGTCTCGCCTGGCAAGGCCGAGGGGGCTCCAAGGTGCCTAGTAACCTCCGCTTTAGCGTTGGGATCCCTCATTCAAACATGATTGGAAGCTTAAAACCTGTACAGAATAGCCTCAGCTGCTGGGCAGGAGAAATCAAAGCCTTCTTGAGGAAATGAAAGAGGTTCGTTGCAGAGATTTTAGTCTTATCTGCTCTTTCTGCATCCCTTTTCCAAAAACAGAGGGCTGGTCTTCAATTGTTCATGGACACTTATCTCCCCTACCCTTATTTTGGTCGTCTAAAGCAGCCAACATTGACAAGCAGGGCCTTCTGAGGAAATATTCCATACAGTATTCCATTTTGATTGAAGTCCTGGTGCTCTGTGTGATATCTCTGACCTGGCACTTCTTTGCTATCGGCAGTAGAACTTCATTCATTTGTTCACTGGTCTAACAAAAATACCTACTATATGCCACATTCTGAACAACACAGATAGAACTTTCTCTGGCATGGAGTTTTCATTTCAGTTTGGGGGGACAGGCAGATCATAAACATGAAAACAAACAAGATAATATCGTGTGTGTGTGTGTGTGTGTGTGTGTGTGTGTTTGTGATGGGCTATTTCTCTTGGAGGTGCTACCTGGCAATGAAAAAGTCAGAAAAAAAATTGCTTCTTTAAGGGCTCTCTACATTATCAAGGAACACAAGATTAGATCATATCCCCCACCCCAAGATTTACTCACTATAAAGTCATAATAGTAATCTTTTACATTTTTATAACACTTTATAATTAAAAACATTTTATATGCATGCTTTCCTTCAATTAAAAATAATAGTAACAGCAACAATTACATAGTGTTTGCTGTGTGCCAGGCCCTGTTCTAAGTGCTTTATGTAAATGTTATCAATTTAATCCTCACAATAATCCAGGAGATGGGTAGTGTAATTTAACCCCATTTTACAGATAAGGAAACTGAGGCTTAGCGGGCATTACCTGAGACAGAAGCAGTACTCAACTTAGGTCTTCTGCCTTTAAACACCAGCTCTTTCTGTATCAAAAGGACGGTCAGTGAGGCCAAAGAGGGAATGATACCTGGGAGAAACTGGCCAAAGGCAGGCAGGCTTGGGAAAACGAGGAGCAGGACAGGCGCATTAGGAAGGGGTAAGTGTGATCAGGGTCCCCCGGAACCCAGTACTACTTTGAAATCACTTTAGGTAGCCCTAAAACTGGAAATAGGGGCAAAAGATATGAAATAGGACAAGTGTTTGAGGGGGAATGTAGGAAATAGGAGGAGGCTAAGTATATGATCTGATTTCGTATTTTATATTCATTAGCTCCCTGGTGTGCACCAGGTATTATACTAGGCACTGGGATATGATGATAAGTGGACATTCCTTCTTGGAACTTAGAGCCTGGCAAGGGAACACACCTACTTTTTATTTTTCACATTTTATTTGCCTCCTCCCTTTGCCTTGCCTGGGATGAATCAAGTTTGGGCACAAGGGAAAGGGGGCAGAAGCATAAACTAACCCTAACTTTGTCCTTATAAAACGAGCCTTTACTGCTTGCCTATGTATGTCTAAGATTACAACTGGTATGCTGGAAGGGGGGAAATAAAGCTGTTCACTACTTCCCTATCATTTTTCCCTTTCCCTTCCTTCCAGCCCCTGTGTGTGCCTAGCCAATCTACCAGCAGCTTGGCAAGCCAATATCTCTGCCCATGCATCCAGGGTCTGAGCGGGGAGGTCTGGAACAGGACCAAGAGCTACCTTTTTCCAAGTGTCCTGATCTTTGGGTGCCAGGATAGCCCCTACCAGCCTTCGTTCTATAGAACTTTCTGAGAGGAGGGTTGGTGCAGTGTGAGGAGGATAGGGGTCTCGGGCAGGTGGATACCTCTTGGAGTTTGAATTGGCCACTGACTCTCCTGTGCCTTTGGGCAAGTCACCTGACCTCTCTCTGTCTCCATTTCTCTGCAGATTAAAAATGGGGATCATAATAAGAGCACCATGCTAAGCATTTTAGTTACGTGATCTTATACCATCATTATAACAACCCCGTAAGGATACCTTTCTCTAAGCCAGAGATTTTCAACCAGTGTGCTACAAGAATTTTTAAAACATGCAATACCCGACTATTTAGTCAGGGGCATGGACCTCTTTTCCCTTAGACTGTCAAATAAAAAATGAAAACCGTCAACACAATATCCGTTACTGTGAATGAATCAAAATTATACCTTTTTTTTTTGTCAGATTAGCAAAAAATATAATAAATTTTTTGGCGTGATACAGAATTTCAGAAATTAGTTTATGTGTGCCATGACATGAAAAAGGTTGAAAATCGCTGCTCTAAGCCTTAGAATTTTTAAAATCTTCTCTTTAAAATATATAAGAATATTTTTTACTACATTGTGATTCTCAAAGATATTCAAGAGAAAAAAATACGACTTAATTTTTTTTTTCATTTAGAAAAAATGAAGAAAGCTTTTCTTCATTTCTGTTATATAGATCAACCCTAGTGGCCTAACTGAGTAAAACCGAGCTGCTTGCCCTCAGTCCTGGCCACTGCTGCAGCACTTCTTCATCAACAGCCATAAAAGTGCGACAGGTCATTCTGTGATCTGTACATTTTGACTTTTGTAGTTTTAGCCTCTGAAGAAGGTCTTCTTTCTCCTGATCCTGCTTCTCCAATTTTGCCTTTTCTTGATTTAATTCTTGTTTGTAAAGATCCTGACTCACAAAATCTATTTGGAAACCACTGCATGACCCAGTATCAAGCGACAGAGATTCATATGCACTGATATTCTGGAAGGTATTTTTCAAATGTATAGTTTTTTTCAAATTCACTGTCTATGTGTTTAAAATTTTCTTAAATTTCAAACTTTTTTTCTGTTGAAAATGTTGGTTTCTCTGAAAAGCTCTGATTGTTTTCTTCATTCTCTACTTTAAGATGTTCTACCACTGTGTAACAGGGATTAAATGAAGCTCATATTTTCCTTAATCATTCTCTAAGTGTTGATCTCATAGGTTGTTTTCTCGATCTGCTTATTTGGGGAGGTGGGGGACTAGCACCAGTCTATGGAGTGTTACATAAAGTCACAGCTGAGTCCGATGGACTTTCAGTCTTGGAAATCGAATCTTGGTTTACTTGTCCCTGAGCCATCATCCTCAGAGAGTACAGCAAATCCATACAAGAGAATATTATCCAGCTATCAAAAGGAATGAAGTACTGGTACATGTTACAACATGGATGAACCTTGAAAACATTCTGCTAAGAAGCCAGATACAAAAGGCCATATATTGTAAGATTCCATTTATATGAAATATGGAGACTAGGACAATCCATAGATAATAAGATTAGAAGTAGCCAGGAACTGGGGGGTGGCAGGGATGGGATTTTGGGGTAGGGTAGAGGGAATGATGAAAATATTCCGGAACAAAATAGTGGTGGTGGTTGTACAACACTGTGAATGTATTAACTAACATCTACTGAATTTTTGTTACATGGATTTTATCTCATTCAATAAAAACACACACAGAAAAAGTAAAACAAACAATGCAGGATAAAAGAGGAGGCAGGGGAGAGTGAGAATCCAGAACACTTCTCTGAGCTCAGTTTCCTCCTCCACGTGGTGGTGATCATGCCCGGCCCGCCCCCCCCCCCCGCCCCCCGCCCCCCGCCCCCCGCCCGCCCCGCTGGCAGGAGTAATACATGAATGAGTTCCCAAAAGTGCTTAGCGCAGTAGGCACTCAAAATGAAAGTTAATTGCCTGCTTTTCTGTATAAGTGTCCAAATCTATTTGTCCACTTTATTGCCTTTATTTCTTATGACTCTATGATTTGTGGCTCCAGCCAGACAGCCGGGTCTCACGCGGGCTTCTCCCACTCCTCACTGCATGACCGGCTGCGCTGCCATCCCGGATGTTGTCCTGCCTCCATCAAGGACAGTAGGATCCTTAGGCCACTGCCACAAAATCACCTGAGAGCTGATTCTGTGGGACCCCCCCCCCCCCAGCTGAATCAGACTCTCTGGGGATGTTTATTCAGGGGCTCTGTGTTTTTTACTAAGTGCTCCAGGTGGTGATCTTGCAATTAACGTCTGAGACTATTTTAATTCATTCCTGTCTTTACTATCTCTTCCCGGGGGGTCTGCTCAGACTCCTTCCCCGGGAAGCACTCTGACAACCAGAGAGCTCCTTATCCGTGTCTGAGGTTATAAGGGCCTGGGTCAGAGCTACCCTGGGCTCTGCTGAGTCTTCTCCCTCCCAGTGGATGGGGGAACTCCAGGGACAGATGTCTGACCCTCTTTTTCCTCTTGTCCCCTGGTTCTTCTGAGTGTAGGTTCTCCTGAAATGCTGTAGGAAGCAAGACACTTTAAAGTCCTTAGAATCCTTTCTGTCTACAAATTCTTGAGAGAACTTAGCTTCTCTCTCTCTTCCTACCATTCATTCTACTTCTGACTTTTTGAGATGGTATGGAAATTGTATTACTGTGTCATACCAGCCTTTGCTTTTTCCATCCCATTTCACCCACAGGATGTGCTAGGTGTGGGCCGACCCCCACCCCACCCTGACAAGTGACCATGGACCCAGGAGCTGGCCCAGAGTCATCTCTGACTGTCAATGAGCAGGTATCTTCGGGGGCAGGAAGAGGTGGGGGAGTGAGGGTGATGGACCAAGGGGTGTGGGAAAGTAGGAAGACCCCATAGAGCCTCTCATCGTCTGTTTCTTACCAAAGTTCACGGTCCCTTCACCTGGCCAAGTGTAACTGCCATCTAGGATTTCTCGGGGGCTAAGTTTGGGGATTTAAGCCGTGACTTTAAAAAGTACAAGTATGTATAAGTTTAGATGGGGAGAGATTTGGACATTGGGTAATTCACTCCTAATTTTTTCTTCTTTCTATATATTTTCTAATTTTTCTGCAAAAATTAGACCATTCATTACTTATGTAATTTTTAAAAGAAGAAAAAAAGATTAACAGCTCTTAGAATGTAATGGGAGTGAAATCCCTCATAGGTCAAGTTTGAGTCAGAAAGGCAATTGCCTCTAGGGCTTTATTTTACTCCAGCTCCCCTGATGGGTCACATTATCACTTTTTCCAGCAGAGTCTTTGGCTGAATCCAATTTTCAGGCTTAAGGAGAGTCTTGTGGGAGTGGCTTCAGGCACAGGGCAAATGCAGGGGAGGTTGGACGGAGAGCTTTTCAATGTACAGAGTGTCCCTGCTTTTTGAATGGCCCAATTGGAAGCAGTCCAGTGCCAGAAGTAAAGAGCTGAGTGCTAATTGCTCGAGCGGGGGAAGAAGATCGCGTTCTGAGGAGGCCCAGGGCCCTCCCGTGTTGCTGGAGCACGGAGCCTCTCTCCCTTCAAGGCCGGAGCAGGCCTTGCAGATGGCACAGCCGTAGCCACAGGCCCACAGGGTACAAGCTCCAGTCCGGGGGGGCGGGGGCGAGAGACTATGCCTTCAGGATTCAGGAAGTTAGCTTGCAGGGAAATCTTGGCCTGTACCCCAGCGTTTTGGAAATAAAGGAATCATGAGCTGAAAAAGTTACTTAACATTGTGGAGCATTCATTTTCCACTGCTTTATCTTTGAGGGAACTTCTGTAATGTTTCAAGGGACGAGAAGCGGGACTCGCTTCCTGGCCCAGCCTAAGCTGTGGATGCTGTGTTAGGCACACACCAACATCCTGGCAGCCAGAGGACGCCCTTGAAAGGCCACAGGATAGATCTTTTACCTCTCGGAGAACTGAGTCCTTGAAAGGGAGCAAATAGAAATACCCCCAAGTGGTTTGGCTCCGTGGGACGTTTTCCAGCTTGTGCCAGGCCCTTCCCCCGTCCCGGGGCCTGCTTTCTTCTAGCCTGCAGCTTGTGCCAGGCTCTGGGATTGTCACAGAGCACAGAGTCCTTGGGACAGGAAGTCTGCATCCTTAGGTGTCCTTTCCTCTCTCCCCCAACCATACCCAGAGCACCAGTCCCCAAGGCAGTGTTGGGGCGGGGTGGTCTGTATCGGCCCCTCCTCCAGCAGTGTCCCATCCTCTCTTTGCAGGTCATCGTGATGTCAGGCCATGAGACCATCCGTGTGCTGGAAGTTGGCGTGGACGCCCAGATCCCTTCTGAGGAGGAGGGCAAAGGACTGGAGGCTGTGGCCGCCGAGGGCTGCCAGAGCGGAGGCCCTGCTGAAGCCCATGAACCAGCTGGTGAAGCTGGGCCAGACAACCCAGACTCCTCTGCAGAGGCAACTGGTACGAGGCCATTGCCCTCATCTAGCTTTGTTCCACTCGGGTCCCTTCCTGTGGTTCCCTGGTGCCTAGATGGCTTTAGGGTCTTGTGTCGTCCTCTCCACTGGGCAGCCTTTGGCCGTGGCCTGTACTTCGGGCCAGCTGCTAGGGCTGTCCTGCAATGCTTGTCCCGGGAACTTAGTTCTGGTTTCATGCACTTCCAGACCTAATCTGGGATGGGTCAGCTAAGAGAATTAAACAAACCTCAGAGAGGGCTCCTAGGTGTAAACCAGACCCTTGGGCCCTGTGCAGAGATTAATAGACCTTTAGGATCTTGTCAGCCCTTCCAACTTAGTACCTGCTGTCGGAAAGCTGGGAGGTCCCAGAAGCTGGGGGTGCGGGGGGCATCTTACCTACCTGGAACTAAGGAGATAGGTTAGGGAGGACCTTGCAGAATGCCAGCTGGGCTGGTGTGAATCAAGCCTGGTGGACTGACTTCTGCTGTCCTCCAAGGATGAGGTGAGGGCATGAGCTTGATTCTCGTACACAGGAATGGATATGGCTGATCCACCCACACTGTCTTCCCTAATTACCTGCAGGAGGGCTGTTCTAGAGGCTGGGGCTGGTACCAGGCACGCTTTCTGGCCACAGGGCACCATTTCAATGAGGGACTTTCCTTATTAACACCTTACAGAACAGACATCTCCTTTTGCAAGAAACCTAGGGCCTCCCTTGCCCGTTCTGCCAGAGCATGAGGATTCATTGCCCCTTGCCTTCTGCTTATCTTCCCTTCTCTAGACCAGAGATCTGAGCTGGTCAGGGTGGGCTAACAGGGGGAGCCAAGAAGATAGCAAATGAGACCAAACATGCTTCGGGGAAGCAACTTCTTAACAAGGAAACTGCAAGACCTCACATCCATTGCTCTACCTGCAAATTAGTGTGCAGACTCATTTGGGACCCTAGTACCTTGGCTTATTTCCCCCTCCACTATTAACACGACCACTTTCCCTTGGCTGGAAATGCTCTGCTCCCATGTTGAGGCCAGGGTGGGGCATTACCTGTGTCCCCGTGGGCCAGTGCCCTGCAGGGCAGGTAGGAAGGACAAGGATCCTTTGTCTCAGCCACCTTTCATTCCTTCCCATCATGGGGATGAAACGCCTTTTCAGAAAATTTGAGAAGTTTCCCAGGTTTATCCACAGTGTCTTTACTTCCCTTTTTACGCTTTTAAGGGATATTCCATATCTCATTTCTTCTGGTGTCTTAATTCTGCTCCTTATCCAAACCTGCTCTTGGAAGTAGACCCTAAGTCCAGTATTTACGCCTTAGCATGAGGGTTTATGGTAATGTGCATCTTCTTCCAGAGGTGGCTATACGTAAGCTTTTCATGAAATGTTTCTCTGTAAAGGAATATTAATTATTGTCCAGGAGGCAAGGGAGGTATTTTGATGGTGCTTCCTAAGAAGCTGCCAGCTTAGACTGTGGCCTTAGTGGGGCCTTTCTAGATTTGCAATGTTAAGAAGCATGTCCTCTTAAAACAACAAAGCTAAGTAATAGAAACTTTTTCAGGATGATTTTTTTAAAAAACTCTAGTGATTTATGGCACTCTAAATCACCACACAGTCCTTGTCACGCTTACATACTTTTATGGTTGTGGCCACCAAGGGTAGACTATGTAGTGGGACACTGACCACCACATTTTTTCGGATACCCTTTTCCTTTATTGACATAGATTCACAAACCTGTTCTGGTTTTGGCTATTGTCAAACTGCCTGGTTTTTTATTGTCATAACCAGTGCTGCTTTGAATGTGTTTGTATTGGTTCTTTGAAAAGTTTTTTCCTTTGAGGTATAGTCCACTCAAATACCTTTTGAAGAGAAATCAATTGTTTATGTAGGAAGAAGTCATCACATGAAAAAATACAAAATCTTGCTATCAGTGAGAGAAAAAGTAACTGGCTATGAGCTACGACATTGCCTGTTAAGCCAGAAAAATCAACAGTGATAAACACTAAATTGGGTGATGCTGTGGAGAAAGAGGTACATTGTTTATGTTCCTGTGAATTAGTTTGGTCCTTCCATAAAGCTGTTTGGCAGGAAGTGACAAAAGCCCTAAAAGTATTCAAACTCTTGGACCCTTGGTCTTACTTTGGAAATATACATATTTTTTAAAGATTCAACTTATTTATTTCTAAAGAGAGGGGAAGGGAGGGAGAAAGAGATAGAGAAATATTGATGTGAGAAAGAAACGTCAGTCAGTTGCATCTCATATGTGTACTCACTGGGGACTGAACCTGCAACCCAGGCATGTGTCCTGACCAGGAATCCAAGTGGAGACCCTTCACCCTGCACAGTGACACCCAACCAACTGAGCCACATGGCCAGGGCTGGAAATATGTTCTAATAAAACATACAGAAATGAAATGAGTATTTCATTTCTTTGGATTGTAAGCTTTTATCATTCATGTTTATCATATTCCTGTTTTTCACTTTTTATAGTTCATTGTATTTGTCATGCAAAATGTTTTTTAAATTTGCCTGGGTTCAGATTATCCTTATCTTCTCTGATTTTTTTTTTTTGTAGTAGTAGTTAGAAATGTATCTCTCCCCACCACAGTAGAGAGAAATCTGCCATTTTGTTTTCTCTTAGTATTTTATAAGGCTTTTGATGCTGCTTGCTTGTCTCTTTAATTCCTTAAACAATCTGAATCTCTTCATAACTACTATGAACAGTATAGTCCTGAGTTAGCGTGGTGCCTTTCCAGAGTAAAATATGGGCTGGGGATGTGGGCCTGGAAGGTGATCTAATTCAGTGGTTCCCACTGTGGCTGTGTGCTGTGTCCTGTGTCACAAGGGAGCTTAAAAGAAAAGAGATTGAGAAGTACAAATTGCCGGTTATAAAGATAGCCACGGGAATGTGAAGTGCAGCATAGGGAATAGAGTCAATAACATTGTAATAACGCTGTATAATGTCAGAGGGGTACTAGCCCTCTAGGAGTGATCACTTCGTGAGTTATAGAAATGTCTAATCGCTATGATGTACACTTGAAACTAATATAATATTGAATGTCAGTGGTAATTAAAAAATGAATTAATTAATTACAAAAAGAAAAAAGAGAGAGGAGAGGTGGCTGGCCTCTACTCCCAGACATTCCGATTCATTAAAGCCTGAAAATCTATGCCCAGCCAGTATTAAGAGGCCACTGATCTGGTCTAATACCCATCGCCCAATACCTAGACTCCTTTTAATGTCTCACCATACATAAAATAATAACCTTTTTCCTCGTTGTGTGGCTTTGAAGAGAGGCTTCCTGGTGGCGATCCCCAATACCTGGCAAATCAGGGCAGCAAGAGGAAGCTCTAACCTGGATGGAAAGCTTTGGTTCACGGGAAGTTCCTTTAGAAGCTCACTGAAGCTGCTCATCCAGACCTCAGACCCCAGGGACCGGCAGAAAAAAGCTACCTGGCCTGGAGAGCCGCTGTGATCCTGAGTGTGGCAAACATGTGTCCACTTTTCAGGGACTGTCACCTCAAGAACTTCACCCTGCAGAGCCCTTGCCCCTTCCCCAAGCCAGTACCTGCATCCAGAAGGCAGCCTGAGGTGGGTTGGGCGTGGTCCAGTGGAGCCGAGGGAAGCTGCTCCTGCTGATTCTGTCTTGCCCCTCCCCTCCCAGACAAGTTCCCTTCAGGCGCCTCTGCTGGTTACCGGATAGGCCGGAGTACTTCGTAGGCCCAGGAAACGAGAGACTGATAGCAGCGGTGCACAGGGCTGCATTTTCTTCATCTAAGTGTAGGGAGAAGAGGGCCTACGTTCTAGGTTGGCACAAGGCTCTCCAGCCTCCTAGTGTCGCCACCAGTAACATTTGGGAGGCTGCCGTCTGGGACAGGGAAAGCCAGTGATTGGTCTTGGGTTGTGCAAAAACACAATGTGAGGCTGAGAGTTGCCACTTCAAGCTGCAGACAATACATTCTAGTCTGGTGCCCCCTCTGCTCACACCAGGCTCACTCTTTGTCCTTTCTCTCAATGCCTCATGAAGTGAAGTCACTCCCAGGGATCCCTTCGAGCCCTGTCCCTGCTGTCGCCACGTTCAACCAAGCCCCAAGCCAGCCTCAGGCATCGCAGACCCTGACACCACTGGCTGTACAAGCTGCCCCCCAGGTAAGAGCCACCCCTGGGACCTGGACAGAGAGCAGTGGGCAGAAGCAAGGCATGGGATCTGGAAACTTCACGAGGCAGGATAAGGAAGGGGCTGTGGCTTGAGGGAGGGAGGCCCCCATTAGGCACCCCCGGCCTTTCCCCTGCCCAAGATGAGGCCCACCAGGAAAAGCAGATCTGTGTTTGTCAGGTAATCTCGGGTCCAGCCAGGAGTGTAGTTACATTGACTCTTTCATGCCACAGGTCATCTGTTTATCTAATGACTAAATGAGAGAATACCCTTGTCAGTTCCTCCAGTGGATGCCTGGAAGAGTTAATGCATTGCTCACAGTCCTCATTTAGAGCCCGGGGGCCGCCCCGCAGCACGAGGAGCTGTCTCCAGGGTCCCCCAGGAGTGCTGAACCCCTGACCTTTCACTGCATGCACAGATTTCCAAGGCATTCGTCAAGGACAGCCTCCATCAGAGCTTCTCAGAAGCCTCTGTGAGCCCTTGACCACCTGGTTCCATCAGCCCCTGTCCCCTGCTTTCTGGCCGTAAAACGTCGGTCCTGTGGGCAAGGGCCCAGGGAATCCCGGGAGGCGACATTCCGTAGTGGAAGAGACCTGCGCACCCTTTGCTGTCCTGTGAGCAGGGCCAGGTCCTGTCCTCGATTTGGCTGCTTCTCTGAAGGCAGGGCAGTCTGGTCCGTCACCCCCCTCAAGGTCAGCCTCCAGCCAGGGCTAGGGCCTGTCTCTCCCCCGCCCTCACACGGCCTCTCCCCCACTGCCCTCAGAATGCTTTGTTTGTGCTCAGCTGGGTCCGAGAGACCCAGTGTTTGCGCTGTCAATGTTGATTTTTCTTTTTATTTTTTCTTTTCTTTTTGAAATCTTGTTTGCTTTTGCAGGTCTTGACTCAGGAAAACTTAGCCACAGTTCTGACAGGAGTTATGGTTCCAGCAGGGGCAGTTACTCAACCTCTTCTTATCCCCATCAGTATTGCAGGTCAAGTGGCTGGTCAGCAGGGGCTGGCCGTGTGGACAATTCCTACAGCAACCGTGGCTGCCCTCCCAGGACTGACCGCTGCTTCTCCTACGGGGGGAATTTTCAAGCCACCTTTAGCCAGTCTCCAAGGTAACGGCAACTCTCCCCAGGACTGCACCTGGCCCCCCACCACTCACCACTACCATTCGTGCACGTGGGCTTGCCATGTTGGACTCAGAACCCACAGCCTGGCCAGGGCAACAGCCCTGGAGTCTGGATCCGGTGTCCCAGGCACCCAGCCACAGAGCTGCTGCAGCACCTTGGGACTCTAGGCCGTGACGCCGTGCTGGCCCAGCCGGCCTCTCTTACTTCAGCCAACTGTCTAAGACTGCCCCTCTCCCCCCACGCCAGAATTCACCCCATGACCAGCCTCCTGAGAAGGACTGCAAGAAGACGCAACTTCTGGTTTTGAACCTACACAACTCCAGGCCCAAGGGAGGGGGGATGAGAGATGTTGGCATGTGCCGCCCCCCGCAAGGATCAAGGGAATCACAGCTGCCTGTCCCCCTGCCCCACTGCCCCAACCCCCTCTCGTTCTTGTGCCAGATCCCTTGGGATTGGAGCTGCTCTGGGCTGCGGCTAGGCGTTTGAGCACCTCTGTCTCTGCCTTGCTCCATAGCAGCTGCCGTGCTGAACACCGCTCTCCCAGCACCCGTTCAAGCTGCCCCACCGGTACAGGCCTCCTCGCCTGCCCAGCCCCGGCCACCAGCTCAGCCCCAGACGCTGTTCCAGACCCCGCCGCTGCTGCAGACCACGCCTGCCATTCTACCGCAGCCCACTGCTACCACCGCTGCTGCCCCCACCCCCAAGCCACTGGACACCCCCCAACAGATCACCCTCCAGCCTGCAGGCTTTGCATTTAGCCCGGGAATCGTAAGCTGCTGCCCTCACCCAGGGCTGACCAGGGATGGACCGAATCTTGGGCCAAGGGTGGAACTGACAGGGGAGGAAGGAGGTGGAGTACCAGTCCCCTGAGTGTGGCTCTTTTCCAACACATCAGCAGACATGGGCTCCCTCTGAAGCCTTCTCCTTGCAGCTGCCGGCCTATCCACCCCAGACAAGAGCAGAAAACCTCTGCCAAGAGGCCTGGGCAAATTCTCCAGAACCCGAACCACTGGACCAGCCTCGGAGGGTGGGATGATGTCTGGGGATTGCAAACTTGTGAGCTGTCACGAAGGTGGAGGCTCACAGCCCACTGCCAACATCATCCAGTGTGGCTCCTAGTTTGACAGTGGAGCCGTTGGATGTGACTAGAATCATGCCAACCACTCCAGTCTGGCCCTTCTGCCCTCCCAGGCCTGGCCTGAAAGATTAGCCAGAGTTACTCTTCCATGGCTTTGACCCCACCCTTCCTGGCCGACCACCTGCTACCCCAGCCCTGGGTACTGTTCAGCTGGTGGACATGGGCCTGCAGCCCACATTCCCGTATATCTGCCCCACATCCCTACCTCCCCACCCCAAGGCCTTGAGCCCTCTGCCCTCTGCCTTGGGCCCTTTCTGTCCGCTTTGCCTCTGAGCAAGGCTCTTCCTCCACCCACAGATCAGTGCTGCTTCCCTCGGGGGACAGACCCAGATCCTGGGCTCCCTCACGACAACTCCGGTCATTGCCAATGCCCTTCCCAGCATGCCAGGGATCAGCAGTCAGATCCTCACCAATGCTCAGGGACAGGCAAGTGGGCAAAGCCCGGGCTGAGGGATGGGGGCTGTGGAGAAGCTGGCCAGGGGACCCGGTCTTGGGCTGAGGGTCACAGCAACTCCAACGGGGTGTCAGAATGCTGCTCATATCTCCTGTGTGGCAGCTCTCTGCTGATGCTGAGACCAGGCGGGGGCAGAGCCACTACCTTGCCCTAGAGGCGCCCATTCTAGTTGAGGTGAATACCTACTTCACTTATGGAGCACCTACTTTGTGGCCAGGCTCTATGCTAGGTGCTTTCTCATATATCATCTCTCTCCATTTTGGGTAGAGATCTATTAGATAGAGACTTTTATTCACATTTCCCAGGGAAGGAGGCTGAGGTTCAGAGACATTAAGCCACACAGCTAAACTGTGGCAGAGCAAGGGTTCCCGTCCGGGCCTGCCTGACCCCACGTGCAGCCCCATCCCTGCTCCACCACAGCTCTGCAGATAGAACAAAGGCAGCAGCCCCCCAGACTGAGAATCCTGCACTTGCCGAGGAGGAAACTGAGGCCCATAGGGGTTAGGTGATTCGTCTAAGTCCCTTCCCCTGCTAGTGTGGGCATCTGGGCTGGGGGTGGAGCTGGATACTGTCCTCACACTGAGGGTCCCTGCCTTATTTCCTCCCAGGTTATTGGAACACTTCCGTGGGTAGTGAACTCGGCCAGCGTGGCAGCCCCAGCACCCGCCCAAAGCCTGCAGGTCCAGGCTGTGACCCCCCAGCTGCTGCTGAACGCCCAGGGCCAGGTGATTGCCACCTTGGCCAGCAGCCCCCTGCCTCCACCTGTGGCTGTCCGGAAGCCAAGCACGCCTGAGTCCCCTGCTAAGAGTGAGGTACAGGGGATGGGGATGGGGGCCAGCTGCGCTATCTGGCATGACTGTGGGCGGGACACGATTATTTTCTGAAGCCCCTGGGAAAGCAGGGCACCTCCCCAAAGTAAGGGAAGGCACGGGATAGAAGCCTCCATGACTCACACATACTCTGGCCCCCAACCCCCTACCCACACACACCAAAAACTTGTCTGTGTGCCCTCAGAGGCTAGTGCCATTCTGAAAAGGCCTGGGAGGAGGTGGTCAAAGTAAGCCGGGCCTTCATCAGCTCCAGGGTGAACAGACCGCTGGAAAAGCCCCAGGACAGTAGTTCTGCATCCTCTCCCTCTTCCTCCTTCACCCCTTCACCCCTCCACTGTGTCCTGTGGCTTTGATTATTCGTTTATTTGTTCATTCTAGAAGCAGTTTTTTGAGTGCCTACTATATTTCAGGTGCTGAAGATGTAGAGATGAATAAGACGGCCCTCCTAGCCTTAGGTAGCCCAGCGTTGGAGATAAGTACAAGGCAGCCTGACCAAGACTCTAAGGGGGGCATTATAAGGAAACCAGGAGAAAGACGCTCTCAGCAGACTGGGAAGTTCGACAAGGCTTCATAGAGAAAGGGCATCGAACTAATCTGAAGGGATGAGTTGGATGAGAGAGTATTTTATCATTAGGAAATTGCAAGAAGTATAATGTGCAGGGGTTCTCAAACCTGAGTGTGCCTCGGAACCACCTGGAGGGGTCATTGGAATGCAGATCTGAGGCCCTGTCCCAGAGTTTTTGGGTTTTTTTGTTTGTTTTTTGTTCCTCCTCCTCCCCTCCCCCTCCTCCACCTCCTCCTCCTCCTCCTTCTTCCTCTTCTTCTTCCTCATCTTCCATTGTTATTCAACTACAGCCCTGGCTGGTATGGTTCAGTGGATTGAGAAATGACCTGCAAACCAAAGCGTCACTGGTTCAATTCCCCATGCAGGGCACATACCTGGGTTGCAGGCCAGGCACCTGGTAGGGAGCGCGTGAGATGCAAACACACATTGATGATGTTTTCCCTCTCTTTCTCCCTTCCTTCCCCTCTCTAAAAATAAATAAATAAAATATTTAATTGTTATTCAACTACAGTTGTCCCCATTTTCCCCTCACCACTCTCCCGGACCCCACCTACCCCCACCTCCCACCCTCAATCCTACCCCCACCATTGACTTTGTCCATGGGTCCTTTATATATGTTCTTTGACGACCCTTCCCTTTCTTTCTCCAGTTATTTTACTCCCCTCTCCCCTCTGGTTACTGTCTGTTTGTTCTTTATTTCAATGTCTTTGGTTTTATTTGGCTTGCTTGTTTGTTTTGTTGATTAGGTTCCACTCACAGGTGAGATCATACGGTATTTGTCTTTCACCCCCTGGCTTATTTCACTTAGCATAACGCTCTCCGGTTCTATCCATGCTGTTGCGAAGGGCAGGAGTTCTTTCTTTCTCCTGCATAGTACTCCACTGTATAAATGTACCACAGTTTTTTGATCCACTCATTTACTGATGGGCACTTAAGCTGTTTCTAGCACTTGGCTGTTGTAAATAATACTACTATGAACATTGGGTGCCAGAACTTCTTATTCAGTAGGTCTCGAGTGGGGCCCAAGAATTCCCCTTTATAATGAGTTCACAGGTGTTGATCCCATGGTTCTCAAACATGGGGTGCTGCTTCCCAGCTTTGTGAATATCCTCTTAGCCTCATCTGTAAAATGGAGATTATAAGAAGACCAATTGCAGAAGGTTATGAGTATTAAGGATATATTACACATAGGCAATTAACACTCTAGTACACAGGAAGAACTTAAAAAATAGTGTTTTTATTGTTATCGCTATTATTAGCTAGCTAGTGAGAGTTCATGGAAGGGTTTTTAGCAGGAAACAGCTGATTAAATCTGCATTAAAAAATTTCCTGTCATCCAGGCAGAGCCAAGAACTGAACTGTGGTGAGACTTGAGGCCTCCTCACCTGTTAGGAGGCAGGCAGCTTAAACAGTTCTAGCAAGAGACAGGGGACTCTGAACAAGGCTAAGGCCCTGAGAAGCAAGGAGGAGTGAACTTAAGAGCTACCAAGAGGCAGAACCCAGAGAACAGGACCCATCCTAGAGAAGTTTGAACTGTTCCAGAAGCTTCTTAAAAACACAATACAAAAAAAATCCTAATTTCATATAGTTTCTTCTGATTATAAATAATACATGATTTTTATAAAAATTCCACGATTATATATGGTGTAAAAAAGTAAAATCCCTTTTAATTCCACTTCCATTGTTTTCCTGGAAATTCTTACGTATTTTTTAAAAGAATTATTCCATAAAACCTGTTTTCAGCTGACTCTTTATTCACTTAGCACTGCGACTCTGAGCTCTTTCCCTGTCAGTGGTTGACAGGTGTACCTTACCCTTTTAAATGGCTGCCCTGTGTGTCACCGAAGGGAGGTCCCAGATGTCATTTGCCAGTTCCCTGTTAATGGATGTTTGGTCCTGGGAGGCTCTAGAATAAGGTTATTCTCTGCGGACAGAGATCTGACAGCAGTTATCTCAAGGGTGGATGCTTGTCGGAGCTGTGACCACATGTATTGAACCTTTTGACCTCTGATCTGCATGTGTCACAGGTGGCCATGAGACTCCAGGTCGGTGGGACATGTTGCTGTGCGCTTATTTCAGAGGTCATTATCATTGGGTGGGTGATAAGAAGTAGTAGCTTCTAGTCTTGCTTTTTGATGGGGCACAGGTGGGAATGTGGGCATCGTGCCTATTTTGGCCCCTGTCTCTGATCCTTGCAGGGGCTCCGACGCCCTGAGCTGGGCAGGGGGGCAGTAGGGGCTTGGCTCTCTTCTCGCAGGTGCAGCCCATCCAGCCGACGCCGGCCGTGCCCCCGCCTGCTGTGGTCATCGCCAGCCCGGCCCCAGCGGCCAAGCCGTCTGCCTCCGCTCCCATCCCAATTACCTGCTCAGAGACCCCCACTGTCAGCCAGCTGGTGTCCAGTAAGTGGCTCCTGGAAGAGGTCGTGGAGAAGGGGAGAGGCCTTTATTTGGACACACTGACCTCTTTGGATGCCGCTCTGCATATAAGTTTACTGGAGTCCAAAGGGGACGGGCAGATGCTCGATGCCAGGGACTGTCTTTCTTATTCCTGTTGAGCTGGATTCTAGACGTGATGGGGATGGAGGCTGTTTCTCTGACCAGCCAGGCCATTGCCTGTCTCTCCTGTCAAATACTGGCTAACCCAGTATTTGAGGAATGTGGGTGGCTGGCAGGTGTGTTTGGGGTCCAGGAGTAGGGAGGAGGGGGAGGGTCTGCAGTTAGAGCTGGAAGAACTTGAAAATAGACCCTTACCTCCAACATGTCGGTCCAGGCCCCTCGCCCCCAGTCTTGCTCGTTTTGGGAACAAGGTTAACGAGGATTGTAAGAGTGCACAGGCCTCTTGCCGAATGTCCTCATCCCTCTGCTCCAGGCCAGGCCAATGGGCCGGATAAGCAGTGATGATTATCTGTGTCTGCGCTCACCCCTGGTCCCTTCCTCTGGCCTAGAGCCACATACCCCAAGTCTGGATGAGGATGGAATCAACTTAGAAGAGATCCGGGAGTTTGCCAAGAACTTCAAGATCCGGCGGCTGTCCCTGGGCCTCACACAGACCCAGGTGGGGCAGGCTCTGACTGCAACAGAAGGCCCGGCCTACAGCCAGTCAGCCATCTGCCGGTGAGTAAGGCTGCCGGGGCGAGCTCAGGGCCTGCTCAGGTGCCTGCTGCCACTCCATATTCACAGGGACCTGGGTAACTGACCCCATTCTTCTGGTTTGTTCCTGCCTTCTTCCAAATAAGGAAGGCTGCTTTAAAGACATGTGAATACCTGGAGGAACCAAAGACTGATCGGGTCCTTCTGGTGGGCCTCTGATGTTTATCCTCCAGTCCTCAGCATTTATCCACACATAGTCTTTTTCTGGGATCCCAGGACACTAATCCATCCAGGAATCCTAGAAGGAAAAGAGTACAGCTTACAAAATTAGTCACAGAGGCAGGACTTCAGTTCCGACTTGGCTCTCAGCTGTACCCCACCATCGCCCCTGCCGTGCTTCCTTCCCTGCCTCTTGTAAGACATGACTCGAAAGTGACGTAGCTGGCTTTCTTTGTACAGTGTGTGAACTGGTTCTGGTGCCAGTGTCACAGGAGGGGTAGCAGAGGGTTTCAGACAAGAGTGAGTGCGTGACTCAGGGATGACCAAAAGGTTTCATCTGCCTTCCAATTCTGCGGGGAGGCTAGAGCGACTCTCGGACTCAGTGCCATGTTGGGAATTCTGTAGTCACATCCGGGCTCATCCAGAAAGTGTGGTCTGACTTAGTGATGCTGCCGTGAGCGTGTAATTAGGGGATGATGGCACTGATGACACCGATTTGCCATCTCTAGAGGCCTCGCTAGATAACACACTCTAAGGACCTCACTCGGTGGAAGTTCTGGAATGGTTGTTCATATAGCAGTTGCACTGTTATCACTGCACTACTGAACTGAGGCCACAGGAACAGTCCCTCTGTTACGACCTGGGACACAGGACAGTCTGAGGAGTCTGGGTTTGACTGAGCCAGGGGGGTCTTCGAGGGGGCGGTGAGGAGCAATGCCTTGAGGAGAGTGCTCCCACCCGGGTGTGGGGAGTAAGACACTCTCGCTGTCCCTTCCTGGGCTTCGGTCACCTGCAGGTTCGAGAAGCTGGACATCACGCCCAAGAGCGCCCAGAAGCTGAAGCCGGTGCTGGAGAAGTGGCTGAATGAAGCCGAGCTCCGGAACCAAGAAGGCCAGCAGAACCTGATGGAGTTTGTGGGCGGGGAGCCCTCCAAGAAACGCAAACGCCGCACGTCTTTCACCCCCCAGGCCATAGTGGCCCTCAATGCCTACTTCGAGAAGAACCCGCTGCCCACTGGCCAGGAAATAACCGAGATTGCTAAGGAGCTCAACTATGACCGGGAGGTCGTGCGGGTCTGGTTCTGCAACCGGCGCCAGACACTCAAGAACACCAGCAAGCTGAACGTCTTTCAGATCCCTTAGGGCTCAGCCCCCAGCCCTGCGTTCCAGCACTTTGTACTTGTCCCTTGGCACCCGGCTGCAGCCACGGCCGTGACAGCACCTGTCATTCCGCTACCTGTGGCTGTGCTTGTCCTGGGTCTTGAGACTCTACCGTGTGCATGCGCGTCAGCTGCCTCCCCCGTGTCCCCCACATATTGCACACCACGCGGAGGGCAGAGGGGCCCGCTGAGCGTGTCGGGCTCTGGGCTGCTCACGCCGAGGGAGGGAATTCGTGGTGTCACTTAAAGAAGCACTTTGCTAACGTGGTTTTTGAAGGGTGAATTCTGCCCTGTCTGTGGGGCAGGGCTGCAGCAGCCCCTAAAGACTGGTCATTAGCTCTTGGTTTTGATGGCATTCTCTTTCCACCCTCTCTCCTGTGCTCCTCTGTGTAAGTGTGGCAGGTGTGGCAGCGTGTCCGTAGAACCACAAGCTCACCCCCCTTTGCCTGCAGGCACACTATCCCCCGAGAGGACCCAACGCCACAGTTCTGAAAAGTGTGATGTGCTGCTCAGGAGGTCAGGCTCAGTGTCTGCCTTGACCTCAAGGTCAGAAGTTTCCACGGCCCTGGGGCCAGAACGTGTCACCTCCTCTCCCACCTCTCCCTGGTTCCTATGGAGGAAAATTGCACTAAAGCAGAACCTTTTCTTTTGTAGTCCATGTTGGAAGGAAGCAACAGTGAGCTCTAGCTGTCCCGGAGGTGACCTGGATTTGTGGCAGGTTGGGAATTTAGTAAATAAGGCCGTTCTTCCAGATTTTAATCTAATCTCTATCCTTAACTATCTCCTCCAAAACAGTGTGCGTTCAGAGAACTTGCAGCCTGGAAAATCCCCTCCCCACCCAAGTAAGCAGGCACTTCGGAGAAAAATGAGGAAAGACATACTGGCTCTTTCTCTTGTCCTCACATTCTTTCCCAAGCCAGGATTGGGGCCTTTTCAGAAGGGGCAAATCAAACAATAAACCAGACAGCAAGGCCTGGGAGAAAAGCCAACATCCAGAAAGAGCGGATGGCGGCCCAGGAAGGTCTCTTGTGGAAGGTGACTTAACTCTAATTTTCTTTGTCACTTTAAGCCTTGGATAGTGGAGGAGAAATCTTCTGTCCAGAGTCTTAGACCCTGCATTTGTGGGAACAATCCCCTCAGTGCCCCACTGAACAAAGAACACCCCTGCGGCGGGCCGGCTTTTGCCCCAGGAGGGTAACCTCGGCACATGGGGGGGTTGGCTGCTCGCCCAAGCACCTAACTGAGAGTTTCCCAGCCTCACTGTGGCTCAGTAATCCCTGGAACTCAGCACGTGACTCCAGGAAGTCAGCAAGAACTACAGCGTTTGCTTCGATGAGGCCAGCCTTGCTGCATAGACCATCCCCCCGGGCCACAAGTCACAGGGGTCTGCCACGCTCCGTCACTCCTCCTGTCCTGACAGAGCCAGGTCTCTAGCAGCTGCCCTCCACTGCACCTCACATGGTACAGCCCGAGGAGGCGACTGCCAGGAGGTGAGGGCCCGTCACTCACTGTGCTGGTCACTACAGCCACCTCCCAGCCTAGCCTCCTCTAGCATGCTGTTTCCTTCCCTGCCTACAACTGGTCCCTCCCAGGCTCCACAGTGCCAGCGTGGTCACCCTCTCAGTCGCCCTGCCAGCGTGGGAACCCAGCTTTGTGTCAAGGTGCCACATACACTCCTGCCCCACGCTACTGGGACCAGCAAACCTGTCGGAGTGAGGCAGGAGTGAGGAAGCAGGTAACTGCCTTGCCTGCCCCAGCTTCCCAGGAGAAAATGTCTCCAAAGGAGGGAGGGTCCACACTCAAGTTCAGGGTTATCGACCTGTCTCAGTGAGATGAAGGGAGGGGTGTTGTAAACAAGTTTTCGGTAATAAAGTCCTGGAGCTTGTTAAGGATTCCGTGATTTACACTGCAGTAAATTAGAGAGCTACAGGTTCTCACCCTCAAACTCTTGCGTTCAGATGCACTTCCTTCCAGGTGGGTCACAGCCAGTACCCTGGGGGTAGCCAATAGCCTAGGGTGTGTCCGTGGCAGTGGCCATGCAGGACACCAACTGTCTGGTGTCAGGGCAAGAAAAGGATAATGAACTGCTGGTCTAAATTAGGTCTGGTTGTGCTTTCTCGGTTCCTCTCTCATCTAAACCCGTCTTTCCAAGGCTGGGCTGGAGCTAAACCATTTTCTCTTCTGCAGGGAGGATGGTGGGTCTTCCAGAGGAATGGTGTCGGGGCAGAATATTTGCAGGCAGAGTTCCCCAGGCAGGAGGCGCAGGGTGTCCCCGAAATGTGCCCAAAGCAGAGCTCATTGGCCTACAATCTCCTGCTTCCCCACCGTAGGAAACACAACCCCCTGGGAAGCACCTGTGGCCCTGAGGTGGGCTTTCTGTTTTGTTTCTGGTAACATCAGACTCTAAAGGGAGCTGATATAAATTTTGTTTTGAAAGCACCTTTCTGGACTTAAAGCCAGAGCTCAGTGGCTCCTTTGCCATGGAAAGGAGGGAGAAAGGGCGGTTCTGGTTTCACTGTTTGCTTGTGGTTTTGTTTGTTTGTTTTTGTTTTAAATAAAAGAAAAACCAAAACTTTCCAGGCCTGGTGAATTAGCTGAGACCTTTGACCCTGCATTGTGCATAGTATTTTATCAGCTGAGGTCCAGGGAACGAATTTGGCCAAATGGATTGAGGAATACACTCGAATTTGGAATGAGAATCCATGACCATTTTTGTGTCCTTGCCTAGATTCCCACCCTGTCTCACAGGCCAGACCCTGAGGCTAAGGTTCTGACTGTCCCCAACATGGGGCCAAACTTGCTGAGGGCTGGAGTGAGGGGTGGTGAGGGGAGAAACATTGAAGTAGTTGTGTGGAATAAACAGTATTTTTCTTTTGTATGGGCTGCACCTCTCAGGGTGGGGACATAAGGGCCCTCATGTCAGAGGCCAGGGAAGCCTCAGCGAGCTGCCGTTGCTGTCGGAGCTGATAGCCCGGAAGACCCCACTGCAGGAGGGTGAAGGTCGTGTGTGTCCTGCACTCCCACTGCAGAAGGCCCTGCCCCTGGCCCTCCAGCCACGCTCCCTCCGTGGGGAGCAGGGTCAAAGGGATGTGCCCTTTCTCTTACTAGGCCACCGTCCTGGTACCTAGGACCCCAGAATACCTTGCCAAGCCCACTTTTCAGCCCCTCTTCTCTGGGTCCCGGGAATAGACACGTTGGTGTGCATGCTCGTAGGCTCAAGAGCGACCAAGAGGCAGCTGTTTGTCAGAGATCTGGATGCACGGAACTTGGGTATGCAGGCTGGAGTGTGTATACACACACACAAGGCCCCTTGTAATGTGAGGTGGGGCTGCAAGGGGGAAGAGAAGGCAGGCTAGTGGCTGGGGGCCAGGGCTGGGGAATATTCTAGCATAGAACTTCAAGGACTCCTAAAAGCTTAAATTCAAACCTGGCCTTCCCTGTCATTATGAAGGTATGCATATCATTCATTATCAGCTGCTAAAGCATTGACGATTACCTTGGTTTATACTTTATAAAATATGCATATATGGTATGTGGGTCTTCATTTGTGCTCTTCCCCAGGCCTGCAAATGTTAGGGGTGCGCCTGATGCTTGAGCTCAGAGCTGGGAGAGCACAGCTGTGATAAAGCGTCTCTCTCTTTGCTTGTCTACCTCCCAGGAGCAGGGCGTACACCACGTTCCCCTGCAACCCTCCCCCTGCCCCCCCTCCACCCACCTGGTATTGATGCGTCTGGACTATGTCATCTGAATTGGTGAGAGCAAGACATCACCTTTAATTCCACCCAAACAGAATTTCTTTTCTTTTTTTTTAAATCTTACCCAAGGATATGTTTACTGATTTTAGAGAGAGAAGGGCAGGGGTGGCAGGAGGGAGAAACATTGATCTGTTGCCTCCAATACATGCCCCAACTGGGGATTGTACTCAGAACCTAAGTATGTGCACTGACCAGAAATCAAACCCAAAACCTTTGGGTATGCGGGATGATGCTCCGACCAACTGAACAACCCGGCCAGGACCCAAACAGAATTTCTGAGCCAGGCACTGTGCTGGGTTCTAGATCATGCCCTACAACCCACCTCCACCCAAGGAACAGTAGGTGACTAAGATACCAATGTAAGGCTTAAGGATCAGAGGAGCTTTATAGCCCTGTGAAATAATGGGGCAAGAAATTAGATCAAAGCCAACACTTACCTCTGCCCAGATCTCACAACCCTAATGCTAGCTGTCCACACCAGGCTGTGACTTCTCGGAGCCCGGGCCAGGGGAACATTGTAGGTGCTTGGTAAATATCGGATAGATGACTGAATGTATTTCCTACTCTCTCCTTCAAGGAAATAGTAAGAGCTGACTTCAGGCCACTGGGAGAAAGCAGGTAGAGAGAATTCTGCGTAGCTATGCAGGGTTCAGACTGTGGTACAGGGGGGAGGGGATGGAATCTGGGTAGCAACTGGCCCTGACTGGGGAGCAGCAGATGCCATCGGAAGAGTCAGTGGAAGCTGATATCTCTGGCTCAGACCAGCTGAGTGTGGTTTCTGGCAGATGGCCCAGGAAGGTTTTAAAGAAAGAGAGGTGGGTTTGTGGGAAGAAAGAAACTGTACTTTCTATTCCTAGGCTGTTCTTTTGGGTTCCTGGACCCAAATCCAATGTGTGTGTTTGTGTATTTGTGTGGCTGTGTGGGCTTCCCCACACCGACAAGCAATTCTCAGACACCAGCAGGGTGTCCAAAAATTCAGCTCAGTTCTGACATTATCTACCTGGAAGCAGCATCAGATTCCACAGTTAAATGTATCAGTTCCACCCTCCGCTTCTGTTACCAATAGAGAGCCCAGGTTATTTCCTGTGCTTACTGCATATTGGAGGCTCCAACGATCTCCTCCAACTCAGGATGCCAATCACAAGTTTAGGTTGTTACCTGTGCTTCTGACCAACTGGCTATAAGTCAGAGGTTCCCACAACCCCTTCCTTGCTTTTGATTAATTTGCGAGAACTGCTCACAGAACTTGGGCAAACCATTTACTCACTAGATCACCAGTATCTTACAAAGGGCACTAAGGATGTGAACAACAGCCCGATTTAGACATACAGAGAGTGAGGTCCTGAACAAAGGGGCTTCTGTCCTTGTGGGCGTGGGGCCTGGCACAATGGCTCTGGGAAGTGTTCTGGTTCCCCAATTTGGAATGGCTCCAAACCCCTTTCCTTTTGGGTTTTTATGGGGGCTTTATTACATACGTATGATTGATTAATTCATTTGCCATTGGTGATTGATTTAACCTCCGCCGCTGTCCCCTCCCCAGACATCAGGAGGTGAGACTAAAATTTCCAACTGTCTATTCACAGTTGGTTCTCCTGGCAACCAGCCCCCTCCCTTAGGTGCCTTCCAAAAGTCACCTTCGTTAACATAAACCTACAGGTGGTAGAAAGGGCTTGTTATGAAAACAAGGCCCATTTCACCTGTATCGCTCTGGCAGTTTTCAAGAACTGAGGACAAGAAACCAAATGCTATAAAAAAAAAAGATGCTCCCACTGCTCTTAAACTCAGAAGTTCCCAGGGTTTGGGGAGCTGTGAGCCAAGAACTGTGGATGAAGAAGACCAAGCATATATGAGAAATATATTTTGGTGGTACAAGTGACCAAATATATATATATTAAAAAACAAAACTTCAACTAAGAGAATTTGAAGATCTAATTGTCTTTATTCAGTGATTCACAATCGGGCAGCCTCCCAACTGGCACCTAGAAGGGCCCTCCCCGGGGTTGTACAAAACAGGGGTTTCATAGGAGGATGGGTACAAGGGAGCTATTAGGGAAAGTAAAGCGAGGATTATTTTTGGGCCTGGACGTCTTTTCTTTAGGGGAACATAAGCGGAAGGGTTTTTTATTATGTAGATTGTCTTGCCTCTTCTTTCCACAGGGGATGGAGAGGGCCATTATTACAAGTTACCTTCCTGGTGCTTGACCAGAAAATTCCAGACTGGTTAAGGATAATTAAGATTACATTTCTTGGAAAGATTAAAACTGCAATTAGATCAGGTATTAAATCTAGGTTTGTATTGTTAATGAACAGGGAGCGAGGGTAGGTCAGCCTCGGGCCGGACTGTAGTCTTTTTTAGATCACAACTATCCACAAGACCAGAGTGCCATGATGGTTAGATGCCCAGAATTCTGTACTGGCCTGGGTTCTTGACTTCATGCAGGGAAGATGTCACAATGTGAGTCCAGGTGGTTTTGAGAGTGTATATTAAAGCTGAGGACTGTGAAACGAGGACGGGCCTAGGACAGAAGGAACAGGAGAGAGACTCGGTGGGGCTGCTTTGGCTCCCTAGAAACGTTATGGGAAAGGAGTGAGCCAGGAAGGGGCTGCTGTCAGCTCACTGGAGAGTCAGAGAAAAGGGAGCATTGGAGACAGATTCGGGGGGTTAGCCTGGGATGAGCTGCTGCTGCCCATTGCTCCCCTGGTTGCAAGTCCAGTGGGGTTCCTTGGAGTTTAGAAGATGTGTGCCAGTGGGGGAGGAAGAGGGGAAGGGAAAGGTGCAGGTGTGCTCCCGGAGGTTCCTTCTTGAAGGTTTTAAAGGCTAGTAGTTTTGGGGAGGTCTTAGGGAAGGATCTCAATAGAATATCCATTAGCTTTTCCAGGCGCGCCCTTTCAGGGTCTTGGTGTCCACTGGTTGGTCAGTGCCAGGGCAAAGGATCATTAGTCATTGCATTTGGTCTGGCATTGCTTCCCCTGGTTTTGCTGCTTTCCTGGGCCTGGAGCTGAAATACAACTGAGGCCTAGATGTCATCTCCAGGGAGGGAAAGTCAGAGGGACTAAATTACATGGCCAGCTCTATGCCAGGGGAAGAAAGTCTACTTGGGGGCGAGGCCCGGCACCAGTTTTCCCTGTCGCTTGGCACCCGTGGCTTTCTGCCCTGGTGACGTTCTGTATTTGGCTATAAATTGCTCGGCCAGTTTGTTCAGCTGTCTCAGTTTCCCCATTTCACTTGCCAAGGAATTTTCCTAGTGTCTCACTATCCTTCCTCGGTATCATGAACTTTTGGTACTAATATATGCCATTATATTTAACATATGTATTGCTTATAAACCACAGTATTACAGATGTCCAATGTGCTGTGGATGGCTGTAAAGGAGGAGCTGACCTTTTCTGAACTAGAGAGGATGTGGGCTGGTTTCCGGACTGGAGATGGGAGTTGAAGGGAATCTGAGGTTGTTTGAAACTGTGTGGGTGAGAAAGGCCTTTCATCTCAATTGCAGGGCCCTTCAAAGAAGACAGACTGGGTCTCACAGTCTGTGTGGGATGTGAGAAGATGTAAAAAGTTAAAGCTAGAGGATCAGTCTAGCTTACAGTAAAAAAAGCTGGCCTGGATAATGGTTTCTTCTCGTACCGAGAGGAAAATGCCCAGTGATTGACCCGGGAACCCAGCTACAGTGACTGACTTGAGCTGATGAGTGAGAAGGGAAGCCTCGGTGCTGATCCAGGGAGCCTGAGCCCTCAGGTCTCGGAGAGAGTTGATTTGTCTTAAGAGGTAGGCAAGACAGGTGCTAGGGTCCCCTTTTTTGTAAGTCCTAGTAATGGCTAACCCTCACTTGTCACTATGCACTAGGCACTCTTCTAAGCATTTACCATGCATTATTTCAGTTAATTTTGATTTAATTTTATGAAGAAATATTATTATTCCCATTTTACAGATAAGAAATTGAGGCACAGAAAAAAATGAGAAATTGACTCAAGGTTGCTTTGCTTGTGAGCAGCAGCACCAAGCCTTGAACCCAGGTGGGCTATGTCTAAAGCCTGTGTGCTTACCCCTACATCCTCCAGGGCGGCACCTGGGGACAGCCATCTGTCCTGATCTTTTTGATAGGATTTCCACACACCAGGGTAAACCCTGCTATGTTCCATCTAACCAGTCTAGTTTCAGGATTTAATCTAGGGAAAAAAATCCTTCACAATGAGCCTTAACTTCACCCAATGGTCTAGAAAAAGGATTTTGGAACTCTGTACCACAGGTGCTCTGGTTAATTAGTCATATTTCTTATGTCTAACAGGAGCGAGGATTTTTGTTGTGGGATGAATTTATGGGCACAAAAATTTGGTTTATTGATAGATGTTGCTGGATTTCCAGGGGAGCACTGGTGATCTTTTTTTGGAGGCAGAACCCCTCGGGGTTGCCCCTGGAATCACTGTTTCCAGTCATGGCACTCGGAGACACTGAACTCCAGTCACAGAGTTCCAAGGGTCTTCTCCTTTCAAGGGGAACTGGGCTCAAGGACAACAGTTTCAAGGCTGATTTGCATTCCAGTTGGGAGGGGCTAAGGTTTAGGCCTCTCACCTCAGTTTATTTTAGAATTAATTACAATTAAGGTAAAGAAAACCTTTGTGAAGTCTTTATTTTGGTTCAGAATTTAAACATAGACTCAAACATTTCCAGGACGTACATGGCTGTCTTTTTCTCAATATTTCCCAGAATACAGATTTCCATGGAATTTCTAGGTATGGAATAGTCATCTCTTCCAAACATCTAATACGAGTTCTTTTTTTACATATGAGAAAACATGTATTGTCCAATATTCCTTCATGGGCACAATTTTCTGAAAATTCAATATTTTTACCTCCACAAGCTTCAAACTCATCTCTAAAGAGAGTATATAAGAAGGAGATCTTTTTTAGATGACAACCATCCACAAGAACAGAGTGCCATGATGGTTAGATGCCCAGAATTCTGTACTGGCTATAAATTTCAGTCCGTTAGGCTTTAATGCTCAAGCTGGGTGACCATGAACTAGCCAATTAATTTTTCTAAGCCTCAGCTTCCTTATCTATGAAATTAACCTAGCAATGGTACTTTCCTTGGAGGAGTGATGTGAGGATGAAATGAGATTTTATACATAAAGCACCTAGTCAAGGCTTGGCACTTAGGAAGGGATCAATAAATATGAGACTGTCATTATTATTAACTACTCTTTGCTATATATCAGTTGGTTCCTAGAAACTTGAGTCGGCAGCAGGGAGGCATTGCTATAGGCAAAGTCCAGCTAAGAGAATCAGAGACCAGGAATGTAGTTTCTGGCTCAGCTCCTAATTTATGTAACATTTGTTACCTATTCAGCAACACATTTTTTGTTAAGTTATGAAGCATAATGATGAAACAATCACCCACAGACCTACCATTCAACTTAAGTAAGCTATTATCACTATTGAAGCTACTTTTGAGTTCTTTTCCTAGCCCACTCCCCTGCCTTTCTTTAATGTGACCATCTAGAGTGTATAACTTAAATATACAATGTAAAATAAAATAAAATGAAATAAAATATAAAATAAAATAAAATAAAGGACTTTTGTACACTCCAACCTCAATTCTAGGATTGATTTATTCATGTCTTGCTGCTATAAATAATGCTGCCATGAACATTCTCTTACAAATCTCCTGGTATGTGCTCGCATGTGCAAGAATTCTCTAGGGTATATATGCAGAGTGAAGTTGCTGAATCACAGAATAATTTTCTGGATAATTTCTAAAGAGGTTGCAGTCTGCTTGATCACTCTGCCTTCTCTCAGTCTGTTTCTTCATATTAAAAAACAAAAATGAAACAAAAACTTTGATGTGGATTAAATAAGAATGTATGTTAAAGTACTACTAAAACCATAACACATCACGCAATGTACTTTAATGTTTTTAAACAGGATAATAATAATGACCCAATCTTAACAGAGGAGTGGAAATTGGCTAGGGGAGACTGAATTAACATTTATTGAATAATTATTATTTAATAATAGGTATTGGCCTCTGGGAACTTCATTTAATCCTCACAACAATTTTAGGAGGAGGTATTATTTTTACTAATTTGTGAATGAAAATACTGAGGCTCAGAGAGGTAAAGTTACTTGCCCAAAATTATGTATCTAGTGATGGAGCTAATGTTCAAACAAGCCATGGTTCTACCTAATAGATGTTTAAAAATACTCTGGACATAATGCTTGAATACAAAGGGTTTTGATTATGACATCTTTCTTTTGGTGTCTGAGCCCAGGACCCATTCCTTTAGCCAAAGGCACATGTATTGAGGTATCATGGGCTTAAGGGAAGAAAATATGCCTTGAAAAGATACTGAATGACACAAGAATGAACCAAGACTTGGATGGCAGGGCTTATTAAGGAAAAAGATGGGTAGGCCTAGAGCCCTCAAGAAAAAAGAAGCCAGTGGCTGAAACTGGGGGCATGCTGTCGACTTCATGTCAACCTCCTTCCTCATTCTTTCCTTTTATAATTCAATAAGCATTTTTTGTTTAAAAAAGTCCTATTGGATGCAGGAACTGTATTAGAAGATACTTAGAACACAAGCCTGAAAAAGGTGTCTTTTCTCTTCTTTAGGAGATTGTGGTCTAGTGACAAAGGCAGATATATACAAAATGTTAATTCAAGGCAGACTGTAAAAAATTCAATAATGGACTACAATAAACCAATACTTTCACAAGTAGCCTGTGTGTTGCAGTGAAAAAGTCAGGCTCTGAAGTTGTTACATCAGTTTAGCTCTGGCCAACTTAAACCCTTAGTCTCTGCTCCTTATTGGTAAAATGAGGGCCACAATACTTACCTTTAGAATTATAATTCTAGTTCAAGATTGTCTTGAGGATATCTGATACGGTTACAAAGTTACCGGTATATAGATGATGCTCAGTAAACTATGAACATTACACAATACTTACCTTTAGAATTATAATTCTAGTTCAAGATTGTCTTGAGGATTACTGATACGGTAACAAAGTTACCGTTATATAGATGATGCTCAGTAAACTATGAACATTAATATTTAATCCTCAAAGGAGGGAGGTGGAGTAGGCACGCTTATCCCCACATTTCAAATGATGAAATTAAATTTCAGTGAGATAAAGTGATTATTCCGAAGTCACCAAAACTAAGTGAAAACTGAAACCCAAATCCTGATCTTCATTCAGACCCTTTTTTTAAAGATTTTATTTATTTATTTTTAGAGAGAGGGGACGGGAGAGAGGGGGAAAAAACTTCTGCTGTGATAGATATCGAATCTCTCAATTGCTTCTTGCATGCCCCCAACTGGTGACCCGGCTGCAACCCAGGCGTGTGCCTTGACTGGGAATCAAACCAGCAACCTTTCGGTTCCCCGGATCAGGCATTCAATTCACTGAGTCACACTAGCCTCTTGAAAACCGCACTTTCACCTATCTTATACTTTGCTGTTGAAATGCATTAGGAAGAATGCTGAGGATAGGAAGATCATGGAGGGAAGTGGGACTTAAGCAGTCTTGACCTCCGGAATGGTAAGTTTAAGGAGAGTATTCCAGGAGCAAATGAACGCCTGTAGGCAGCGTCTGGGGAAAGTCAAGAGTACCTCAGGGCTGGGTGTGGATTCGGTTACTACTGGAACGAAGGCTCCACCCACGCCTGAAGGAGCTCACTTGGCACCTAGTGGAAGCCAAATCGCAGATACAAACGGGGAAAGACGTTTAAACCAGGACACCTGACGCACACCACGCCTCCTCCCACAACGCCCAGCCCATTTTCGAGGCGGGAGGCCATGAGTAACTGGCCTATCACCACTGCTGAGACCGACGAAGTCTCTTTTCCATTGGTGATCGGTAGGGTGACGTCATGTTCGCCAGACCGGCAAAGGAAGAGGGCGCCATGATTGGTTGGCGTTGGGGCGGCGGGCGGTGGAGGAGCCTGGCGACTCCGGGTTTCATACCCGTGCTGAACTTTACCCTTCCATGTTTCGAGGCCGTGGGGGGGCTGCAGAGGTCAGGGAGTGGGCTGGGCGGAAACCTGAATTTGGTTCTAAGAACCGTGGGGTTGACCGGAAGTGATCTTGGGGCTGACCGGAAGCAAGGCCTGGAGGGGAAAGGGGAGAGCGGGTCCCTGGAGGGAGGGGGTTCCTAGCAGTGGGGTCGGGGGGAAAAGGTGCGAAAGCGACCTGGGAGCGCCTGGTAAGCGGTGGGCCGCTGCCGGCCTATTTGGGAAGCAGCGAGTGACGACCACGAGCAAAAGGGGAGAGCCCAGAGAGGGAGTGTGGGAGTCCAGGGCTGCTTCTAAGCAGTCTGGAATAATTAAGTAAAAGGGCCCTCACGCGGCTCCAGAGAGCTGGGTGGGAGGGATTTCGGAAGTCGGCGCAGCCCAGAACTAGGAGCGAAGGGTACGGTACGGGAGATTAGTGCGGGGAGCGTTTGGGAGGGGCTGGTGAGTACTGCGTGGGAGATCTTGGTTTGGAGTTTCCTACAGTCCTTACCCCCGTTGGGTAGAATCACACTGCTCACCTTTGTGCCCGTTGGGTGGAATCACACTGCTCACCTCTGTGCAAGAAACAGTGTCTCCTGGGGCAAGGAAGGAGCCAGGATGGCTTGGGCTCTGAAGCTGCCTCTGGCCGATGAAGTGATTGAATCCGGGCTGGTGCAGGACTTTGATGCTAGTCTGTCCGGGATCGGCCAGGAACTGGGTGCTGGTGCCTATAGCATGAGGTGAGTGAGATATTCCCAGCCTCTGCACCTTCTGAGTAACAAAGGCAAGATAGGGGCAATAGGGGTGGTGGTAGGGGGCAGGGAGGTGTGTAGAGTTAAAGAAGCTGTCTGCGTTTAGGGAAAAGGGACTTGTTTCTTTTGTTGCTTTGAGTTTGAGTATTGTGGAAGAAATGGAACAAGAGATTGTAACAGTGTCAAGTCTGCAGGGTCAGTAGAAGGAAGAATGGCCCTTGATTAGTAGCCAGATAAATGTTGGGAGGCTCTTGTGCCAGTTTGAGCGACTTGGAGACTGATGGGTGGAGGTGGGGGTGTGTGTGGGTGTGTGGGTGTGTGGGTGTGTAGGTTGGACTGCACATGTACGTAGAAGAGGCCACATAAGGAGTTGGGGAGTTGGAACCTGGATCTTAACGATGAATATTGGTTGACTGCTTGTTGGAAGGAAGTATGAGACCTTGGTGAAGAAGTCCACCCGTCTGTATCCTAGCCTCCTTTTAAGGCTTTGCTTAATTCCACGGACTTTTGAAACATAGCTGTGAAATGAAAAAGTGTCAAAGAGAGCTTTTAGATGCTTCTAGACCTTTCTATATCAAGCCAAATGTTGATAATAATAAAAGTACCCTTTGAAAGCATCATTACTTTTCCTTGTAATTTATTTGTATGCATTAGGCTACTTCATTCCCCCAGCATGGTTTGTTCAACTTACAAGATGTGCAAAAATCATGTCTGGAAATGTTGAAACATCTGCAGCTTAGGGTTAGGTAGAATATAATTGGGTTTCCAGATGTATTATAAGGCTTTAATCTAAAGTCAAAGGAGACTTTATTTTCATTGAATTTATTGGGGTGACATTGGTTAATAAAATTATATAGGTTTCAGGTGTACAATTCTATAATACATCATCTGTATACTGTGTGTTCACCACCCCAAGTTAAGTCTCCTTCCATCAGCATTAATCCCTCCGTTACCCTCTTCTACCTCCCCCGACCCTCCTTTCCCTTTGGTGATCACCATAGTGTTGTCTATGAGATTTTTTTTCCTTAATGCTTTCACCTTTTTCACCCAGCCCCCTAATCTCCCGAAGACACTTTAGAACTTAACGCTTTAATTGGGTTTAGTGGTTTATAGGAGAAAGATGTTTTTTATGGGGGGACGCAAAAATTTAAATTTTGCATTCTTATAGTGTTATCCTTTGAGAGTTATGTAATGTAAATTTCCTTTCTTTATCCCTATAAAACTAAAATGAACTTACTGAAGTAAAATTATGAGTTAGAACTTAGTACATAGTTCACCTTCAGGAATCTTTGCTTACAGCTAGAATAATGAAGGCTATCTGTGTATACATATTTTTGTGATTTTCAAGGAAATTTGAGTTCTGTCATGCAATGCTGTTAGTCTTAAGAAATTTAACTCTGATTTTCCCTGTCTTTGTTTATATAAGTCTGACCATAAAAATAGAGATTAACTCCGTCTGAAAGTAAACGTCTGGACCCTGACCTTGTATGTCGGTATCTGACATAATGTTTGCCAGTGTATGATGCTGTTGTTCATGCAAAGATTATCACAGCAAAAGTTTGTTTTTTATCTAGGTTATTAGAGTTTAGGATGGAGATAATTAACTGTAACCGTAGTTATAAAAATAGTTAACATTGTCAACAAACATTTGCCTATCTGCTGTTTACCTTCTCTACCACATGACCTTGTGTGGATGAGTGCTTTCTACGTCACACCCTGAGTGGTCTTCACAGGAATTTGGAAGGTTGGCTTGTATATTTATACATTTAGAATTTTTTTCCAACAGCAAATCATCAAGAGTTTTCAAATATTATTTTATGTTTTCTCAAAAGCACAATGTGCCAAATTTTTACTATTTACTTATTTTGCTTTTTTCACCTTGTTTATGCATTTTACTCTTGTAACTGTTCTCTTGGCTATTTCATACATTTAATCATTTGCATTAATTTGTGTTAATTAGATATTAGTTCTCAAACTTTAGTATTCATGAAGGTTATTCTGGAGTACATGTTAAATATAGTTTCTACGGTCCCATCTTTGGTGATTGTCTGAGGCACAGACTAGAAGTCTGATTTTTTAAAAAATAAGTTCTTAGATGATTTTGATTCAGGTAGTCCAGAAACTACATTCCAAGAAACACTGAGTAGAGGAGTTTATATAGATGGAGGTGATGGTTTATTGCTCTTCCTGTTTCTCCTTTTAATTAGACCTTGTGATTGTGTTTTTTACACCTTCATTAGGGAGAATGTTCTCTTTGACAAGCAATTTGTTTTGTAAAATTCTTTCCCTGATATATTTGTTTTACCCTAGTTTGCTTACTTTTATGATTTTGTTTCAAATCTATTGATTTATATTTTATAAAGGTTGATCTTAACTGGATTCCTCTTTTCTGACTCTTGATCTGCCATTGTATTCAGTAATGTTCTTTTCATAAGCAGTCCTTTAATATTCTCCTCCTTGCTTTTTTCCTTACATTTTAATACGTGGCACAAACTTTATAGTTAAAATAAAGGAGATTCCCTGAAAATCTGCTGAGTGAAAGAAGCCAGTCACAAAAGACCACATAACAAAGGATTCCATTTCTGTGAAATACTCAGAATAGTCAGGTCTCTGGAGACAAGAAGTAGATGAGTGGTTGACTAGAGCTGTGAGAGAGGAGGGAATGGGGAGTGACTGCTAATGGGTACCATTATTTTGGGGAGGGTGATGAAAAGGTTCTAAAGTTGTGATGGTTATGCAGCTCTGACCACCTAAAGACTATTGAATTATACACTTTAAATGGGTGGATTGTATGATATATGAATTGTATTTCAATAGAACTGTTATAAAGATTTAAATTTTGTGTTCTAAGATTTTACCTTTTTCTCATTTTTTTAAAGTTGAGGTGGAATTCACATTACATAAAAGTAATCATTTTAAAGTGAAGAGCTCAGTGGTATATAATGTGTTCACAGTGTTGTACAATCACCACCTCTAGTTCCAAAGCTTTTTATCATCCCCAAAGAAAACACTCTACCTGTTAAACAGTTGCTTCTCATTTTCCCCTCCCCTCTCTCCCTAGTAACCACTAATATACATCATGTCTCTATGAATTTATCTGTTCTGGATAGCTCACATAATGGAATCATAGGATGTGTAACTTTGTGTGTCTGGCTTCTGTCACTTAGCATAAGTTTTCAGGGTTTGTCCACATTACACCATGTATTAATACTTTAGTACTTAATTCTTTGTTTATGGCTGAGTTTCATGCCATTATATGTACATATCACAATTTGCTTATCCATTTATCTATTAATGGACATTTAGGTCATTTCTTCATTTTGACTTTTATGAATGATGGTAACATAGCATTGTGTTTATGAAAGAAATGACAACAAAATGTTTATAAACATGTATAAGTTTCTGTGTAATCATTTTTTCTTTTTATGGCGGTATAACTGACATGTAGCATTGTGTTAGTTTCAAGTGTACAACGTAATGATTTGCTATCTGTGTATTTTGTGAAATGATCACCACAGGAAGTCCAGTTATCATCTATCACTGTACATAGTTACAAGAACTTTTAAGATTTACTCTCAGCAATATTCAAATATGCAATACAGTATTACTAACTGTAGTCACCATGCTGTACTACACATGTTTTCATTTCTCTTGGGTATATATTTAGAATTGGAATTTATGGGTCATATGATAATTCTTTAATTAACTTTTTTTTTTGGTAATTTAAAGACTTTTTTTAAGACTTTATTTATTTTTAGAGAGGGAGGAAGGGAGGGAAACATCAACGTGTGGTTGCCTCTTGCACACGCCCCAACTAAGGAAGTGGCCTGCAACCCAGGCTGGTGCTCAATCCACTGAGCCACACTAGCCAGGGCTAACGACCATTTTTTAAAATAGTTTTAGGTTCACAGCAATAGAAGGAGGTACCGAAATTTCTCATATACCTCCTGCCTACATACATGTAAAGCCTCCCCTATTAACCAACATCCCCCACCAGAGTGGTACACTGGACCTACATTGATGAACCCACATTGACACATCATAATCACCAAAAGTCCATAGTTTACTTCAGGGTTCACTCTTCACTCTTGGTGTTGTACATCCTGTAGTTTTAGACAAAATTATAATGACATGTATCCATCATGTCAATATGGAGTATTTTCACTGCCCTAATAATCCTCTATGTTCTGCTTACTCATTTCCCTACCCTATCCCCTGCAGCTATCAATTTTTTTAATGTGTTTATTAATTTTACAGAGGGAGGGAGGGAGAGAGAGAGAGAGAAACATTGACATGAAAGGAAAACGTGGATTGGTTACCTCCCATACACACCTGGTTGAGGATTAAACCCTCAGCCTAGGTATGTGTCCTGACCAGGAACTGGAACTCCCAACATTTTGGTGTACAGGACGATCCTCCGACCAACTGAGCCACACCGGCCTGGGCTGGCAACTTTTGATCTTTTTACTGTCTCCATAGATTTCTCTTTTCTAGAGTGTCATATAATTGGAATCATACAGTTACTTGGATTTTTCTTTCACTAAATAATAAGCATTTAATATTCCTTCATGTCTTTTTATGTCTTGATAGCTCATTTCTTTTTAGCGGTGAATAATATTTCATTGCCTGGAAGGATTTATTTATCCATTCACCTACTGAAGGACATCTTAGGTTCTTCCAAGTTTTGGCAGTTTTGAAGAAAGCTGGTATAAACATCCATGTGCGGGTTTTTGTGTGGAGATAATTTTCAGCTGCTTTGAGTAAATATCATTGAGTGTTATTGCTGGGTAATACAGTAGGAGTATGTTTAGTTTTGTAAGAAACCGCCAAACTCCTCTTCAAAGTTCTTGTACTATTTTGCTTCACATCCTTGTCAGCATTTGGTATTGTTAGTGTTCCAGATTTTGGCTATTCTAATAGGTGTGTAGTATATGCTTAATTTTTTCAAGAACTGCCAAGATGTTTCACACAGCACTTGAACCACTTTA